CCCCCCGCCCCCGCCCCCGCCCCGGGCCAGGTGGGTGGGCAGCCTCGGCGTGTGTGCTGTGGTGTCTTCTCGGAACTCTGCCTCCTGCCCCCTTCCTCCCTGCCCCGGCCCTGGCGCGGCGCGGCGTCCGCTCACTTGCCAGCGCACCTGCCCTCAGCCTGTCTCCCGCCGCCTTCTCGGCGACCTGCGTCCCGCAGGCCCCGCGCCGCCACCCGGCTCGTGACGCTGTTCTCTCTCGTTGCCGTTTCAGAAGCCCAGAGGTCGTGAGCACCGTCTCGGGTACACGGAGCACCACGGTCACCTTCACGGTTCGCCCGGGGACCTCGCAGCCCATCACCCTGCAGAGCCGGCCCACAGACTTTGAGAGCAGGACCTCAGGAACGAGGCGCGCCCCGAGCCCCGTGGTCTCGCCAACGGAGATGAACAAGGAGACTCTGCCCGCCCCCCTGCCCGCTGCCGCTGCCGTCCCTTCCCCCACGCTCTCAGAGGTCTTTAGCCTTCCGAGCCAGCCCCCGGCCGGGGACCTGTTTGGCTTGAACCCAGCGGGACGAAGCAGATCGCCGTCCCCCTCCATACTGCAACAGCCAATCTCAAATAAGCCTTTCACGACTAAGCCTGTGCACCTGTGGACTAAACCAGACGTGGCGGACTGGCTGGAAAGTCTCAACTTGGGCGAGCATAAAGAGACCTTCATGGACAACGAGATTGATGGCAGTCACCTACCAAACCTTCAGAAGGAAGACCTAATCGACCTTGGGGTGACTCGGGTCGGGCACAGAATGAACATAGAAAGGGCTCTGAAACAGCTGCTGGACAGATAAGGGTGGCTGCTCCTTTACCTTCACAGACTCCTTGTTATAAGTAGAGATGGGCTTCTACTGAAATACGCGGGCGGCCAGGCACGGTCTGTGAGCGCCAACCCCATTCCACGGGTTCGTCTCCCGGTACCCAAAGAAACGCCGAGTGTGTCCGGGTGTGGCTGAGCGAAAGCCTGGCGGCTCCCCCACTCTGCACGGGGGCTTCACGGGCTGTTTCCGTGCAGCGGGGGACAAGGGGAGGGAGTCCTGCCACCACGGAAAGAGAGTCACGGCCCGCCTCGCGGCGTGCAGGTGACCTCCCTTTGCCAGGTCCCAGGGACGCCCCCGCCGGTTTAGCGCGGGAGCCCGGCTCTCGCAGGCAGACACCGGTGCGCTCCAGATACCTCCCGAGACCTCCCTCCTCTGCTTTCCGGGCAGCTCCCGCCCCCACCCCCGGCCCGCCTCCGTTCGCGGCCTCCGGGAGGACACTCCATGCTCACTTGCTCCTTTCTTTCCTGCACTTGGCCTGTGGTAAGCCACCCCAGGCCTGTCTCTCCGGTGCCCCTCGCTGGGCCCCAAAGGTAGAGAGTCTGTTTTTTTCCTTTGGATTCTTTACCCCGCCTCCTCCCGCGATGTGCATCCGTGGTTCTCTGGCCAGGAAGTTCCTGGCCGCGGTGGGGAGTCCGATGGGATCGTGCCCGGCTTTGCTTAGCTTTCCTTCTTTCTTTCTGCAAATCTATTAGCATAATTCCAAAGTGGTCAGACAGATGTCACGTGGAGTTAGTCAAAGCACAAAGTCACGATTCCGCGCAGGAGGGGAGGCCCGGCCCCGGGAGCCAGCCGGTGCGCGGCCGCCTGGGTCTCTTCTAGGGGAAGAGCGTCCCCGGCGCGGTGACAAGGGGATTCTCTGCCTTTCGCACGTTTTTAAAATGGAAAGCGTGTCTTGTTCTGCAAAGATCAGAGCAGGTGAGCGTCCACTTCACCACGTGGAGGGGGAGACACAAGGCTGATGGCGGGCACGTGCTGCTGTGGGGGAGACGGCATCTTCCCCGGGTGCCGGGTGGGGCACAGTGACCTCTGTTCTGAGCCCGGCCAAGGGTAAGCACCTCTGCCGAGACCGCCCCTCTGCTCTCTGAGGCCAGGGAACCCCACCAGTCTGGCCGGTACGACAGCCTTTTCGAGAACCCGGTGGCTGAGGCCGTCCACGCAGGACCCAGGGTCCGGAACACGCAGTGGGCTGCAGGCTGAGGGCGGCAGCAGACACACGAAGAAAGGAAAGACAGGGAGGTTTCCCGGGCTGCACCAGGCAGGCCCCTCTCGCGCGAGGTTTTCTCGAGTCGCACCCATTCTCTCCCCTGGAGTCCCCTCCCCTGTGACAATACCTCCAATTTCCAAGGGAGGTCACCACCTGCACAGGGGTCACCGGACATCCAGCCAGGCTTCCAGCACATTCTCCCACACTTGGAAGAAACTCGAACAGCAGGTTTTGGCTTTTATTATGATTTCAGAACTAGCCTAGCCCATCTCTAATTATAAAAACATGGTATTTTTTTTTTTCCTTTCTTTTCTTTACGCTCACAATCAAGTGTCTGATTAGGTCTCGAACAGCTCTAGAATGAACACGTAAAATTTAGCAATTTAAAATCTCTTTCTTTACTGCAAGTTTAAATAGTTGTACAGATAGTTTATAAGCACAATATTTTAAGAAAAAAAAAAGTGGCTGGTCTACTAGGCAGCCTTTGTGCCACTTCAGTGCTAGAAAGTTAAAGAAAAAAAAAACTTT